ACCACGCTTTTCAGACCGATGAGCTTTGTAAAAATCGACACGTTTCAGAAAGGCGGGGAATAGAGCAGAAACAATAATGTACAGTATGTGGAAAATAATGTGTTTTTTTAACCTTAAACCGCATAAACACATTTCATTACACCAAATACACAAAATAATGTTCTTTTTAGCAACATCATATGACCCCTTTAAGCCTAATTACTCTGGTTCCAATTCATTCTGATTGGACAAGCTGTGTTTGAAACCGGTGTAAAATTACTATTTAAACATACACTGATGCCACATTCTAAATTAATGCACCATGTTGCTATTTTGCCATTTGGGATGTTGAACAATATTCGATGCTTAATTAGTTGGTTTAATTCATATTAATTTCACTGTAAATTAAACACCACAGTGCTGCTGACACTTTTGCATTAAAGCAGCAAGTAAAATGAATGTGCATTACAGTGATTTTTACCACAGTTTTAGGGGGTTTAAACACTGAGCTTCACTGTAATGCACATCCTCTCATGGCTTATTGCTTCATTTTGTAGTAAGAATTTCTTAAACCCATGAGAGTTGCAGTTGAACTGTCTGTTATGTCATGCAGGTGAAAATGCTCAATATCTCCTGAAGTGTGTCGACCGAGTGCGCGTTTACTCCAAAAGAGGCCAGACACTCAGAACTACTTTTCGCATCAATAGCACGCAGTCATAATCACAGATTGAGACAATGTTCTAATGTGCTCTATATGTGTATAAGAATCAGCTGTTGTTATGGCTGGTGTGTGTTGTGTGAGCTTAGTGCCACGGCTGAGCTGAGAGGTGGAATGGGTCTCCTGCTGAGCCGACGGAGTCACGCTTGCCCTTCTGACGCTTTCAGACGGCTCAAGAGAAGGGGAGATGAGACGCCATCGAGCGTCAAAGCTAGAGCACCTTTGAAACCTTTCAGCTCGCTACAAAATTACGGCATGTGAGCACTTTGATCCACAAACGGATGAGCAGCGGTCTTGCAGCGGGCCATCGCCCTGCATTACTCTCTGCATTCTTCCTGCTCGCCCCTGCGTCTGACTCGCCCACTGAGCTGATCACCCGACAAATCGAAATCGGCTCAGTGCATGGCGTGGAATCGCACCGTTCCATAATACAATGCAATTTAACCCCACAAAACCCATGCTCTTGTCTTGCTACATCCTCTGTGATGGATAAAAATTACAATTGTCGCCTTACGTCGTCTAATTCTTACAATTAGTTCCTTCACCTTGGCCTTAAAATGAACGGCGTTGCATTTGGATTGCAGATACGTTGCACAGACTGACATTAAGGTGGAGGGAGGCTAAATTTGGGCACTGTCTCTCAGCTTCTTCTCGGTGGACGGCTGGCGGGATGCGGCGGCACATCATCGCAGCGGAAAGCTGTCACCGGAGTGAGCAATGACTCACACTTTTGTTTGTCTGTTCGGTGCGGCGCTGAGCAAGTCAAGCTGGGCAGCTGGTGTGACGCCGTGTAGTGTGTGAATCTATGCACTCGGTGGGAACCTGGAAATGCATATATACTTGTTATTTTACATCACATGAAATGAGAAGTGACTGATATTAATAATAAGCATTGATCTTTTTTGAATTACTTCCACTTGTCATTACCCTAATTATCTCTAGCAAACTTAATTGACATGTTTAAAGTGAGTCTTCTGTAATATTTCAGATCCATTTCACTTTTCACCATCTGGAAGTTGGACCAAGTTTGGGCGCGTTCACTGCCCCTCAGAGTCCAGCAATCATCAGTAATTAGGCTCAGATTGTACAACTACAGCCAAGGTCAGACAGGGATAATGTTTCATGGATTGTACCAATTATTGCATTCGTTCCAAGGCTGGCACTTGAGCTCAACCTTGAGTCAAGCGGTGCAGTGGTTTTAACACGGGACATGTGTTCTCCGGTACACAGCTGCAGTCTCCATTCACACACATCTGTCACTGCTAACTTCAAATGGCCAAAGTCAAACATTTCCTTTTCGTCGGCTTGAGCTTAAGTAATTGCAGCCCCAGGAATGTGAGAGAATCTGGCCTGATCGTGTTTATGTTTACAGACCCATAAAAACACAATTACAAATTATTTATTTGTCTTTAATAAGAAAGTATAGTTGAGAGAATCCATATAATTATGCAGAGAGAGCGATATATTGTGCACTAACCACTAAACAATGGCTCCGGCAAATAAATGCTTTGATAAATAAAAGATTTGTATAGTAAAGTTTCTACAGAACTTTTTGGCACCACTAATGGCATACAGATAAAACAATGTTTTTCTCATTTTATGCAGATGAGAATTCAGCTCACTCTAACTGGTTTGAGCTTCATCTTTGCAGTTCAAATTGAATTCCCTTTTATTTAAACATACTTATTCTCAACAGAACAGTGAATAATGTGTTGAAAAACAGCTATATTTGATTACCAGTGGATGATGCATTTGAGAGTTTGTGTAGTGTAACTTCAATATGGACGGACGCCCTCCAGATATTGACCCTGCTCTCTTAAGAATACAGCTTTTAGTAGGCTGTACTTACACAAGACTTGGTAGATGCGCTCTTCTCCTCTGGCAGTTTTGGAATACTTTTGATGGCTGCCACCAGTTCTTTTCCCACTCTAAATTACTGATGGATCATGGAATAAGTTCTCTCTCAATGTCCCCTTTTAAGTACAAAGATGCAGAAGACAGGCCAATGTGTAATCCATTTCTGTTTTAGCTAACCGATCAAACTATCGATTGTAGAATGCCACTTTAAAAGATTCAGCGACAGATGTGCAGCTGGGAGATGTGACAAAATTCTGCAGCGTCTCGCTGTGGTTATTCTATAACCTCCAGCAACTTTCCCTGCTGTCAGATCTGAGAATATTTTTTCCCTCCATAAACTAAAAAGAATGAGGAAAAGATTGATGTAGCCTGTAAAAAGGAATTGATGATGCAATATCTCGTTTACTGTAGAAAGAGGCTATTAATGGTCCACTAATCCTCTCTGACAGCCAAATATCATTTGTTGGGTTTATATGGCTCTGTGATGCTGGAAAATATTTCATATTAGATGAAACACAAGTTTTAGCCTTCAATTCCTCTGGAAGGAAATGCTCAAGGAAAACTCTTGTGATGATGCAAGTTTCTTTTCGGAAAGTTGCTGCACCGACCATTATGAAGCAAAATTTGGCTCACAGAATCAAGCGCTTACCTTGATCTGAATGAAACGCTCTCTTCATTCACACTGTATCCGAAATGAACATCAGCACAGACAAAAATAGCTAACCTTCAAGAATAGCTAGTGATTTGTGACTATGCAGATCTTTTACATAGAAATATATATTTTTTATCTATTAATAATAAAATAATTCATAATAATTCATAATTCTATTAGTAGAATGCTATAATTAAAGTAGTCCAGTAAACATTCCAGTAGTCCAGTAAACGATTTTTAACAGAAATAATCCACAAAAGAAAGGACAAGCATGATTATTGTGACTAAACAAGCATATCCATGTAAAATTAAGCACGGCAATATTCTTTCTCTCCCTGTCTGTGCAAAACTGCAAAAGGCTTTAACTATCAAAGATTATTACTGGACGTATCAGTTTTCTTTTTCTTTTTCCAAAGATGGAGAAAGTTATGTGTAAGTTTATATAATATTAAGCTCTTTTTCATTCTAAGAAGAAAATGGCAGATTCTGACTGTTTACTTTAAATGTCATCCAGAGATTTAATACATTTGTTATTTTGGTTAATAAACAATAAAATCTTTTGTAATCATACATTTTTAAATAATTGTTTATTTAATACACAGTGTAGTTAATCGGTTTTTTCCCATTATTTTGAAAGGTAATATTTTGTGGACCCATAATTGTTCCAATAAAATGAAATTATACCCTGTTTGAAAGGATGCAAAGTCCCTGTTGATTAAGATTTAGATGGGGTAATTGCATACTTCTGTCCAAAGATGGCACTGTCTAGCAAAATTACTACTGGACTAGTAATTTGCAGCTGGTTGTAAAATAAAGGACAATAAAAACAGATTTACTTGTAAATGGATTTTACATATCATGAGGGAGTCTTGTATTCAATGCAACAAAAAAAGCTAATTATATACATAGAATGGTCATAGCGCTAAGCACGTGAACTTCATATAACATCATATCATAAGATCTTTGTTGTTTTTGAAAAAGCTTAAAGGTTAAATTTAGAAAATGTATCTTTGTTATTTTTGAAGTGATTTTGCCACAGAATTCTTCTTTGACATTTGCACGTTTTATGCAGTGCAAAAAGTGATTGCACACAAATGCGTGTGTTTATTGTTAACAACTTTTATTATTATTATTATTATTAAACAAATAATCTCCAACTGACGTTGCAGCTAGATAGATAATCCTTCAAAGAAACTGCTGTGCCATATAATGTCTACACAGTATAGCCTACAGACTGTATTGCACTATGCAGCGAGCACCGTATAAGGTGAGAAGTATTGCACAGGTAATAAATTAATTATTCAAAAGCTAAATATGCAAATGTCCATTTCTAATCACCTCGGTTGTGCATTTGTAAAAAAAAAAAAAAAAAATGACCATCGTTCAGTGCATGAAACATTTGAAACGTGCGACATGCAAATAGAGCAGTAAGTGAGTGCTAGCACAGGGGGTTGGGTTTAAACGCGCTGCTACTGTAACGCTGCTGGGCTTCGATGCCTGTGCCTGTCTCGCGTAAAACCTTCACAGAAGAGCAATGAGCGCGTGCATGACGGTCTATCGGAGAGCTGCTGATGAAAAAGCGTGATGTCAAGCCACTGTCAGTGTCAGAGGACTGGGGGAATGTTGCTGTGCTCTTGGCATATGCGCTTGTGAATGACCATCCTCCGGCATCGACAGATGAAGCGTTGAATTTTGCTGCATAGATCAGTTGCCTGAAGCCGCGAGGCGACCGTTCATTCATCGTCTTGCATGCAAGAAATCTTCGAGGAATTGTGAGAATTTTTTTTTTTTTTTGAAGGTGCTCTCTTTGAGGCTTCGGCGTTCGTTTGCATGTGGATCTATCTGTCAAAACTGAGCTGAACGCAGAGACATCTTTTAACTGAACATTAGATACCATCCTCAGCTTTCTTCTGGATTGCAGGTGAGTGGACAAACGTGCTTCGTGAATTCATTTCAGCCCAGAGATGCTTTACGTGCGAGATGTGGCCACGAATACTAATGTACACTAGTGCAGTGTGTTAGAGGAAAGCATAGAGAAATGAGATCATGTTATAGGACTGACATTTCTCATGAATCGCAAAGAAGTTGTGGTTTACGAGCAGTTTGGTTAGGATAATGGGATTTAATTTGGTGGTTTTGCTTTATGTATAAATATTTGCTTTTGGTGATGCTGGCCACTCCAAATATCGTAGCCTATTCACTTTAGACACAGATAACCTTATCCTCAATGTCACGTTTCAACTTTTTTATTTAATATGCGAGCCGTAAGTGGTAATGATTGTGCACCTATATTAGTTTAATGAATTTTGATTTTGCGTTCCTTGTATTTTTCCACACACAATATAAGAGATCAGAATCGGAAATAAAATGTAAATGTTTGTAAATTATTCTCATGTAAGCGAGAAAACATGCAAATAGGAATGTTGGTCATGAATCTTCCTCATGTAGCCTATATGCGCTTTCATAATCCAATTAACTTTATTTTATGGATTTAATTTACGCTCATTTAAAGTGAATAGCCTAACGTTACCTCACACTCTTCACTTTTCGCTCTCCTTGCTATCTTATCTTCTTGAATTTTCGTCTACTGAATCTGAATCTACTGAGTCCGTTTAATGTACGACTAACCCCATCATATATTCAGTTTTGTGGGACTCTGTCAAAGAAAATGATACACGTTCAGAATGTGAAACTGGTTGTTGCCGAGTGGTCATAATTCAGCTCTTCTACCTCAAACTCCGCTCTGTTCATCTGGACTGTTGCACTCACAAATCTTCATTTCCCCTCACACACGGCTCTGACATCGGCTAAAATAATTTTTTATAAAATAAATGTTTTTTAAGTAGAAAATCGGCCAGCATTTGCATGAGAATCACTGGCATCTGCTATGAAGGACAGGGATGATATTAATCGGTCTGACTAACACAATCAAACGGCGCTTTCAGTGAGGAAGATGAGGTGAATTTATCTCGAGCGTGACCTCTTCACATCATCGTTTTTATCTCCGTCTTGAAGCGAAACAGCAGGTTGACCTGAGACGGCGTGTCGGCAGGGTGAAAACGGTTCATTCACGAACCGAAAGGGCATGTTGCTAGTGGATAAACGACGAAATTAACCCAGTTTAGATTTAAATTGTATCCACATTTCATTTGAGATGAAAAAATGAAGCAGATAAACCCCAAAGGAAGTCTTAAAAGTTTGTATTTCGGTATGTTTCAACTGCGTTTGCAAACAATCTTTTAGTAACCACAGAAGTTAGGTTACAAGTTCGTTAGTGCGTTAAATAGATGCTCACAGAAATCGCGTTCGCCCGAGGAGGTAACCATAGCAACAGTATACTGCTCGAGCGCCTTCCTGTAAGATCAGTATCGGACGGTACGTTTACATATCACAAATATAGGCCTAATTACAAAAGTGTTTTGTTTATAAGATCTTTAAGATAGGCTAGCTGACTGTTGGATAACTATATAGAATTAAAAAAAACTGAATTTGTAAAATTATTGCCGTATAACCTTTTACATTTTTTTTCAAATAACACTTTTTTTTGTCTGTTTGCCCTGAAAAGTTGTCATCAGACACCTGCAAATAGAACAATGATGAATATAAATTTTCTATGGCTATGCGTTTATATGGTATTAGTAAAAACGTTTCTCTGTTTTATATTTGATGTAAGTAAATCACTCTTCACTCAGCTTTTGTTTTATGACACTTTAATTGGGACAGCATATTTGACTGCCTGATTGTCCAATTCAGTTGTAACCCCATAAAGTCATTAGATGTCTGAATTTTACTTCATATTTCACATTTAATTCAGTGGCAATTCTTAAGCCATGGTGATGTCATGCACAAGTTATGTTATTTTTTGCCAATTTAGTAATTTTTTCAACTTTTTCAGTGCTGCTGCTTTGTTAATCAGCATGCATTGTGTATTTGGTCCGGTATGCAATGTTAATTTATAATAATAAACCAGCTTTTGATACATTATTTCATGTGATTATGATTCCGGTGTAGTTTATGCTGACTCTGTGCAGATTTAAAAAGCCTTTATTGGCAAATTAAGTATACTTAGTATAATTAAAGTTAGTATAATTGGTTTATACTGCCATGAAGGCAACCCCCCCCCCGTAGTGTCCTATACACCATTGGTTTAAACATTGCTCATCAGAAAGCAATAAGTGTCACTTATGTAGGTTTGACTCCCCTGTGTATGGCAAAGTATGATTACATTCTGTACGTTGCATTCTGCTCACTATGTGGCTTTGTAGTGTGTTCTCTTTGATGAGGCGTTGAGAGGCAGAGAAAGCTGTAGAGCATCTCTAGATCACAGGCTCTTTAATCAATAAGGTTAACTACACAAAGCCGAGAGGACAAGTCTCCACTGGGTGCACACCCATCAACTTTACCTGCTTCCTCCTTTCCCTTACCTCGCAGGCTCCATGCGGTTTGGTCAGAATCGTAAAGTAAATCAAGGGCCGTCTTTTCCTTATCTCACAGCATGATCTTCCTAAGTTTGATTTGCATGTTTGCTCTGATTGTCAAAAAGCCTCTAGCATTTTTACATAGCGCTGCATACTATTGATTTGATTATGTCAGTCAGGTGCATTAAGCGTTTCCTGAAGGGTAATTGGAGGGTATTATGTGCTTAAAAGCGGTTTGTTCCTCTCTTTTTAGCCGTTGGCTCTCAGATAGATACATACGTTTAAAAGGAAACTGAGGGTCGATTCTGAATGGGGTGGCCACAAGAGACCCATGCTGAGTGCTTATCCTCCTTGCCCCAGTTAAATGCTGTGCTCAAGTGTGTTAGTTTAGGGGCCAATTTGGATATGTGCTTGTATCTTCTTGGCTCGGATTTTGAGGTCAGCGATATTACCTTATCAGTCCATTCAGAGGAGACTCTGCAGCTGTGAAAACAGCAATGTAAAGATCCTAAAGTATGTGCTATCTCATCACTCATCTCTCCCATTGTCCACCAGGCATCTAGTGTTTGCAGAACAGCTCCTTGGTCTCTGGCTTTGACTGAATGTTGAGATGAGTACTTGATGGATAGTCACAAACAAACCCCCCAGCAACCTTCGAGTAGGCCCACGTAGCTCAGTAGCGCCACCTATTGATGAGTACGTTGCAGCAACAAACCACAATGTCCGAAACTACCCAGGGTTCCAGAGTAGTTAACCCACAGACAGAGGGGCATTTGAAATTGGTGGGTCACACATAAGACCGTGCTTGTTTTAGTTGCATGCTGTGTCACCAGCGTGCACTACACCTCGAGAGAACCCCCTCTTCTCTTCTCTCATGATGGCATACGGGCTTGCCCCGATTAGCTTAAGAGAATTTGACAAGTTGCGATGCATGCAGGCGGAATCCTTGACCTATTTCTTAATGAGTGAACAGTACAAATGCATTCAGAGGGCTGCGTTTGCAGTGCAGGCCTTACCACCGTCCCCCCACCGCTTGTGCACACAGACAGACTCTTGCACGCTTATGCCCTGCTAGGGCTGGACAATAATTCAATATCAATATGTATCGCGATATAATTTTTTTCAATAACGGTGATATGATTTTTAAACACATTTCCGATATTTCGATATACATTAACAGTGTTTCCCATACATTGATTTATTTGTGCAGTTTGACTGGGAAAGAAATTATAGAAATTATACTTTTATTTAGCAAGGATGCTTAAAATTGATCAAAAGTGATGATAAAGGCATTTATAATGTTACAAAAGATTTCTATTTCAGATAAATAGTGTTCATATCGATATCGGAATTATATCGTATCGACCGAAATTAAGAAATATATCGTGATATCAATTTTGGCCATATCGTCCAGCCCTATGCCCTGCAGGATGGGCTCTTGTCGAGAGAGTTCATCTGCTTCCTTTATGCTAGTCTCATGTATTAGTGTGTGTATTAGGGATGTAACGGTATGAAAATTTCATATCACGATTATAGTGACCAAAGTTATCACGATTATCAATATTATCACGATTTTGCTAAAATTAGATGAAAATGTTCAAAAAGAACTGATACACACACTGAAAACATTTCAATAAGTTTTATATTTGAAAATCAACAAACAACAAATACAATTAGCAGCTATATGCACTTTTTTAGCATAAAAATTAAATTAACATTAACATGAAGCTCTAATAATAATTCAATCGTAACCTCACAGGTATGCTCTTTAGGCAAATCAACAAAAACGGAAAAAGTTTTGTGTATCCTAGTGTGTATCCAACGTTTGTTTGTTTGTCCAACGCATTGATCTTGCATTCTCTTTTGCAGCGTTGCTGCTTGACTGTTTATCTATGTCTCTCTACCGTCCATCTGATCTGTCACAACAAAGATCGCTATCACTCTTGACCTTTATTGCTTGCTTAAAGCGTGTTTTCGGTGTACGTATACATGCATCCAAGTGTACCAAAGTGGAGCCAGATGTGGTGCCGATTACAATTATCCTGTGACATAGATGTTTGGAAGCAGGATGCAGATTCACTGTAAGTAGAAAATGGTGTGCACTGGTCTTCCAAATAGTTAGCTCCAGCTGCCCGGCTTCTCTGTCTGTCTTCGTACTTCATACATAAACAACCTGTTGTGATAATTTGTCTTCAGCATTGGTGGATTAGGCATGGGGTTGATACGGTGACCTGGCGTTTGGCAACACTGTAATTAGGCCTGTGTTTTCTGCTGCAGCTAATTACCCTTAAACAGCTGGTGGACAGACTCTCGCTTGGAAGGTGCCAGTGAGAGAATTGTGGGTGTTGACGCATTTGCAGCTGCAGAGTGTGGGCAAGAGAATAGGACGAGTCAATCATGCGCAGATGCCACTCATTCTGAGCACGCTGCCAGTTTTATGCAACATTTTATTAAGAATGCAAACACGTTCGCCATAAGATCTGTTGTCTATGTCACTCTCCCT